TACCCTAGATAATTTTGTATTCTTATTACAGATATTTTAAAACTATGTATATATGTATATGTATACTATAAGTATAAATGTGTTTATTACTATGCTATTACTTTAGCACATACAGGTGCTTGCACCTAGGTGCTTTAACTTTAATTATAATTTGATTATTATGTTAATTTAATTTTTAATTGTATGAAATGTATTTTTATCAAATAAATCAAAAAATTATTAAAAATTTTATTATTAAAAATATTTGAGTTGTAATTATAACAAATTTAAAAAAAAATATTCACAATAATACGTAAGTAGGTTTTTTGAATTCTAAAATTTTTCATACGAATTATTATATATTTCACTTGTAAGTTGAATTAGATTGCAGATGTTCTATGAATGTCTAGAGACAATAGGAATTTTTCTTCGGAGGATCAGTCATTGGGCAAAAGCCAACAATTTTCATTGATTGTTCTGAATATGAACCCTCTAATGGACTACCATTGTCGTTTATATACAACCTCCGAAATTAATCGACATATCTGACAAACAGCGGTATCTCTATCAATAACTTCTTGAATAATTGCATAGCAGGTATATGAGATTTATGAACCTGACCAGAAATGCTTAGCTTTAACAAAAAATTATAGATGTCATAGATGATATTACAAATTTTTATGCCTAATACTAAAAACAAATTACAAAAAAAAAGAACTTCATGAAATAATTATAAAAGAAAATATTTATTTATATATAATTCTGTAAAATTGAAATGATTTTGAAATAAAATACTGGGAAAATTAGTTTTGGAAATGTGCATGACATGATAATTATTTTTTTTTACCATAAAGTTTAAATATTAATATAAACGTCCAGTATGAGACGAATCCAAGCGAACCAGACACAGAATAAGAAAACTGTCACGTGGTTATACTATTATTTGTAATGGCAACGCTCTCACTATCAAAGACAAAGAACTTCATCGAGCTAAAATAGGGTGAAAGACCCAAATCGAATTCTTAATTGGCGGAGGTTACAAACAAAGAAAAGAAATAATCTGGATAATTTGTCAGATTGCATTTGGAAGTGATTTCAGTTTTTGTTACGCCATCGATTCCTTATTGAAGGAAATCGGGAAAAAAGTTTGAGTAGGCTGAACCAATTAAGCTAAAGTTTTTTTTTTTCTTATTCTCGGTGGCTATTTAGAGTTGATTATTCAGTGGTAAAAAAGGGGTTTCATTAATTAGTTTTATAACATTCAAAAGTTTATGGGCATGCAATCCACAATTTTATAAATAAACAGCATTATCCTAAAGGAAACCAGCGGAAAATTTGGGTGAGTAAAATTTAATAAAATTTAGTAAAGTTAGATTTATCAAATCATGTTCAAAAACATCTGTCTAGATAGTTTTATAGTATCATAGATAATTTAACAGATAATTATTAATTTATAAGAACATAATGAAGAAGCCTTTGATTAAAAAAAATCAATTTTTAAATGTCTATTATTCATAAATATCAAATACCACTTAAATATCCTTTATACATCCTTTCATAAATAAATAGGAATTTAAGGGTTAAATATAGATGAAAACACAACTATAGTTTTCAAAACAAATCGAAATATCAAGTTTCTGCACTAGATTTTTCTCTTGTTACCATTATGTTAAACCAAGATCTTAAAAACTATTATTTAAAGATATCGTGTATACGAAAATATCGCCAACGTAAGTCATTCTAAGATGCCAAAGAGAATTGGAAAATAGGTTTCAACAAATTCGAATTTTTCATGTTGTAGGTGCATCAAAAGTACTGCTTTTAACGTAAAATCCCTTTTCAAGACGACGCAATAAGAAAAGGTTTGGTAATTTGATAGCAATTCTTTTTATTAGAATTGGTTGCAGTAGTAAAGAAGATGGCTTTTCGTGAAATTGAAAGCTTTCCAATGCATATTTTTTTATTTGTTTAAATGTTTGGATTTTAAATGTCAAAGTAGTAGCTTTCGATAAAGTAAATGATTACAATATGTTTTTTTTTTATAAATAAACAAATGTGATATTGAAATTATTCCAAACATTTTAATACCTTACCATTTATGCAGAAATCTATAGGTAAGCGATCCTATATCTATTTGACTCTAAAAATATTCAATGCACTTTTTCAGTACATTTAAAAAACACTTTCTGAGAGTTTTCTTGTTTTGAAATTTAAAATTATAATGGTAGAATCAATTTGCTTCAATTTTTCTTTCAGTTTTATGATAAATTATTAATTGTTTTTATATCTATCAGATCTATAGCGCAGTTCCAAAACAACTTATTACAGATAATACAAACTTTTTAGTAATTTTTTCACAAGTTTCTTAAATATAGGTTCTAATCCAAAACAAATATACTTTCCACAAACAAAATATATAATACCAATAACAGAAAAATCTACTTACTTTTTTTAGGGCACCCGTTCTTCACTAAGGAGGTACAACTCCCCTCCTTTTAACTTTTCACCCGATCGGTGACCCCAGACCGATGCCCCATGCAAGGATGACCGCGTGTTCCCTCTGTATTCCCCAAAGTCTTTTCATATTGCATAATTGCTTACATTATAAAAACTGCTGATAATTAAAATGTTTCGTTAAATAGATTTGTCAATGTACTGGGTATCTGAAATTTATTTATTTAAGGCCCAACTCAATCTTGTTTGACAGTGACGATTTTTTTTTAGGTTAGAAAATTAGCATTATCGATTTTTCATTCGAAGTAATACAGGGCGTTACTTTAAATTTCTATCTCGTTATGTCAACAAATATGTAACACGATGCATTTATAAAACATATTTCACTAATGAATATGTGGCGGCAACTGACGGCAACACTGTCAGCTACTACATACAGGTCCGGTATAAGCCATATATAAATGGAAAATAATAATTTAATGTTTTGATTGAGTTAAATAAAATATCAAAATTAAATGTTTATTTCTAAGTAAACGACATTTTTTAATGTATACGTCTTCAGTCAAAAATAATAAAGGCTACTACTCAAGTGTATACGAGTGTACTGGACGAGAGATAATTTTACACTTCTCCAGTTGTAATGAAACCAGCGGTAAAATAGATATTTGTGTACCAAGGCTATATTTTGGCCGAATTAGACATTTACGTCCGAGTCTAAGCGAGTTCTGGTTAAGTATAAGAGTAATAGGCAAGAAACGGATGTTCAATCAAACTTGACATCGAGATAGATGTCACATAAGCAGGTGTACTGAAGATGAAATTTGCAGGACCCAGCATCAGATAGGTATAACACTTGATATTCTGAAAACCATGCATATTACACTGAATAAGAACGAATGAAAGTGTCTGAAGGAGGCTAAAGGCAAAAAATAGACGGAATAGAACTGAATAGATAGATAAGTAATATGATGCCTATGCAGATTTAAATTTATTTTTGCGCACTGTTTTCAATCAACTGATACCCCAAATTTATACAAGCCACTTCTTCGCACCACAATGTGACGTAGTCAAATCTGCTTAATCTCATACCATTTTGTTTTAAGTATAAAGGATATTCTTGGTGTAGCTGATCATCATGTTTCGAGTCAAATATCAATAAATAGAATTCGGAATTTATTCCAAAAATATTTTTCTTTGGAATATAGGATTTCTCGTTAATATACTGACAAACTTTTAAATTTATTTTAAATAAATCTACCTTGAATCAGATTTTTCCCTGTAATTATTCTGGGAAAAATAGGGTAATTATTTTTCCATTCGACTCACTAATTTAAGCTTTATTAATAATGAAACCATCCATTATTCCTCGAATATTGAATCATAGTGCTTATTTACTGCAGGCTGTGCATCTGAAACAAGGATGTTAATTTAAAAGAGAGAATGAGATAATCCACTTTAAGTAAAGCAATAATGAAACTAGATTTCACCGGGAAACCATAACATTTCAAGTTTTATTTCAAAATGGATAAAATTCTCCACTTTTCGCTGCATTTTGCAATCATCTGGGGTTTCCCAGAAAATCCAAAAGCTTCGGGTTTTAACTTAAAAAAGTAGGTCAGGAAAATATATTGTGCAAGAAATAAATTTGAGTGTGGGTAATTCTACTGAAAATTTTCCACGTTATGTATGCACATATTTTTACGTGCTGCTTGAGTACTGCTTGAAGATTTTTAGGGCTGCCAAATATTGTTATTTATTCAGTATTCCTACGGGAATATTGCACGTCCGTGTATGCTTTTATAAAATGTTTTCAATCCTATATAATTTCGAGTTTATATGTTTCCGTGTAGGATCTGTTTGTAATCATAATCACTTAAAATAATTAAATGGGTCTAAAAAGTAAAGCAGTTAAATCGTTTACTAATTCCACCAAAAAAAAAAATTCTAATGATGATTAAACGTCGCAAACCTGTTTTGCGGTAAACAATTTATCAACTTTATTCGAAAGTCTATTCAATGTTATTCCAGAACAGATAAATACAAAGCCGCGTTTCAAAGAAAAGCGTTTCTGGTAATTAAATATTAATTTAAGAATCATTAATTACGAAGATAAATGACCCTTTAAAATATTAATTAACTGAAGGGTGGGAAACTTAAATGATGCCTGCTCCTTTTTTAACGGTCGATTTTTCAATCTTTTACCCGGATTTCAGCCCGCAAAAGAGAAATAAATTACTGTAATAAAAATACTTACTCTGACTGATCATTAAAAGATTGGTTTCTAAATAATGCAACTTTATAAGTTACAGCTCTCTCTCTAATCGGTTTGAAGCTTAAATTTCACGTTTAGGTAAAGGATTCATTAACTACTTTTAACATTAAATATTTAAAGTTACGGGAATTATATTTAAGTTAACTTTAAAACGTTATATTTCGTTAGAAGGCACTATTGGACATAATTTTGTATCTGTTTTAATTTTTACTTTACTGCATCCAGAAAGGAAAGTGATGGAGAGAAATCTGAGAAAAAGTAAAATTAAAATTTTTTAATGACTTGGAAAAGTTTGTTATTCTTTTTCAAAGGTAATTGGGAGATTACTTTTTGGACATATTTCATTATTGTTCTGGCTTTTAATACCATTTATAAGATCATTTTCAGAAAGATTTTCAGAGATACCGACGATCTTGAAGCGGGGATTCAGTACAGGAACTTCTTTGATTGTGTAGTCATTGGCCAGCTTCTCATCTGATAAATTTTTAAATTTGATACATTCATCAGAGTTTTCGCATCTAACCATTATACCACCATCTCGAACGTTAACTACTTTAGTGATGTTGATGTTAGATGATACAGGGTTTATGTTTTGAATCATAGCAGTTTTCGTGACTGAGGTAGCTTGTTTTGTCTTAGGCATAATTACATAAGAAGGTCGCTTAGCAACTGCTTTCGAGTATGATTCTTTATTACTAAGATCAGACGTGTTAGAGTTTGAAGAATTGGAAGAAAAGTCGTCGAGTCTAAAGGAAATCTTCTCGTGAATCTCTTTTTTTAGAATATCGATAATTTTGTTTTTGAAGCTAGATAGCTCATCTAACTTTTCCTGGATGGTTTTTTGAACTTCATCGCAAATGTCAGATAAACGTTCGTCAATTGATTTCAGACTATTATTGTAGTCAGACAGGGATTTTTCTTGAACAATGCTGTATTTACGTCTACAGAGTTCACATAGAAAATATAAATTTTTACTTTTTAAAAGCATCGAAAACTCAACATTAGTTAGACCAACACAAAAGTAGTGGAACCATTTTTTGAGCAGACACCTTTGCATCCAACATAGCCATCAGATTTAATAAGCTTACAGTTACTGCACTTATAATCATCTCCCATCGTTATTTCAAGTTAAAAATAGTCACAGCTTTATTAACACAAATCTTACCTTGGTGGAATAAATAGGATATAATTCCAAAAAAGTTGTAAACTAAAATATCTACGTTAGTCGAATAAATGCAGTTTTTCTTGCACTTATTGTAGTCTAATCAGTTGAAGTATGTTTCACATCGCAATGTTGCACTTTAAAACAAATTATTATGGTCAAAATACCAACAAAATAAACTGTCACGCACAGAGAACCACGTTAACAATACTTTTAATTTATATTCCACCAACTAACTATGAACCTAAGAAAAGTCTGAAGGTAAAATCTGGTTAATAATATGTTCCATGTAAAAAGGTTTTCTTTCATAGAGTAAAACTTAAGATCAGCAATATTTTAACCCATTGCTAGTAATTTGGCAGATATAGAATCAATTCCAGTATTATTTTATTGTTAAATTTTTAATATCAGTAATTTCATCTTTTATACTTTGCAAATTTAGTAACTGTACAATATACAATTAGAATTGTTATAGTAAAAATGTAAGCTTGCCTAATTCTTAGTAGGGCACTGATGTTTAATATTCATGTAGAAACAAAAAAATTTATGAGTAAATTAATTGATGTTATATTTAGTTATAAAACGTTTATATAAAGAACGTTACGCCCAAGGTTTCCACTTTCAAAAAGAGCTCATCTTTCTCCCAAACCGTAAATAATTTAGCTCGCTTTTAAATCCCAATTTTTAATGAAAATAGATAGACGCAGGTAGACCCTATTCATCTCATCTAAAGTCAGCGCATAAAATATTCACTAAGTTGCATATACATGGAAATGAATAAGGATCATGAATTATTCAGGGTTTTAAAGAAATTTTAAAAAAACCGCTCTCGAAATGTTGTGCAGTCGATGTTCTTGATTTTTAATCGAGCCAGCATTGAAACACGCTTATATACGTTTTTGATGTTTTTTGTTTTGATTTTATTAAATATTTAACGAGTGGGCATAACGGATTACGACCAACACATCGTTGTTACCAACGTTACCAGTTTAAAAAGTATCGAGTAAAACTGTTTTGGATGTTGAATATTAAACAGACCTGTTTATGCAGTTTCCAATAGACACGGCCGGATTTGGAGACCCTTCCAGGCAAAAACAGCGTTAAATTAAATGAAAGTTGTTCGAAGGATACGGGACAACTGTATGCTAAATAAAACAGAATGATGAATTTATTATAATGAAAAAAAAAATTGACTACTTTAATTTAGTACATTGTAACCAAATCTTAACATAAATATGTAGGCACCGCTTGATATTCAGTAGCTGTGTTCGATGTTTAGGTACCGACTAGTGCAGAGATTCCGAAACTCTTTTGTTCTATAGACCACTTTCAAAATTTTGCTACATCACTATCAATTTCTAAATCTCGAAAAAAAAGTGAAGATTAGATCTATCTATGGAAACTTGCGTTGTGGCTGTTTTAACGACGAATTAACAGTTTTCGAAAAAAAGGTTAGAATTGATTGCTTCATAGGGTTAATTATTTGATAATAAAATCGACTAAACAAATTTAATATTTTTTTTTTGCTTTGGATTGTATGACTACGAACATTCAGTTAATTCGCCTATTTTGCCGATTTTGTCGATTTTGCTCATTTTTTACATTTAAAAGTTCTACAAATACCTATTTATTATATATTATATATACATTTTGTGTTTTTAACTAAAATGCTGACTGTTTATATTATAAACCAAACTTTCTTTTCGATTCTTGGAAGGCGTCAGAGATGTTTGTGGTATGGCTAGGTAAGAAGATTTTCGAATACGTGTATGGTAACTTTATATCTACATTACAGTAATATCAATGGCAAAAATATAATCAGTAGGTTCTTTTATTCTAATATAACGCCTCGTTAACAATTAACTATCTGTGATAACTTTGCAGTAAAACTTTCAAATGGTCTGAAGTTCCGGAAGGATTAAATTCTGAAAGAATTTAATAAGAACCAGGATCAAATATTAAGAATCAAAATAAAAAAATGCGGATTGAACATGTATAAATTGTAATACTACTGCTACTGACATCATATACAGGGTGGCCACTTTTTTAATGGGATTGTATTAGTAATTTCCAAACCATATTAGTTAGAAAGTCGGTTAAATGGAGAAAAAGTTGCCTATCTCGAAGCATAATCTAGCGGTGAAAATTAATCGAAAATAGCAGGCCCGGCTCTTGAGATATTTCGATAAAAGGAAATTCGATCTTTTCGGTTATCGTTCATTTATTTTCAGAACTACTAAAAAATATTTTGAAGGTTTTTTATTTGGCAGTAAATTTTCTTTGATTTGACGTTTCCATATTTTGCATCGAACGTTTCGTATTCTCCAGACCACCCTCAATTTATTTTTTTTAAATATGGACCTGGATATTTTATAACATTATTTGAAATAACTTTTCGTCCTGCATCCAGCGGTGTATTACACAATAGCATTCAATGACGGTTTTTGGGTAATATGGACCGTAATCCAAATTTTATTAAATTTACGCTGTTTCAGCTATCTTTAAAAAAATAAAATCAATTCTTACAAAATTTATGTAATTTTTCGAAAATTAAACAATTCATCAACATCAACAATAGTAATTGTAGAAATTTTAAAACGCAATTAGTGATAATAACAAAAATAAATTCAGTTTTTGTAAGTCATAATCAAATTATTTGAAAATATCAATAAAATTAATTGAGTAATTATTCAAAATGTCCGCCATCTTCTTCAATACACTTGGCGATTCTGATATTCATATTTCTTATGCTATTGCTTATTTCTTCTTCTTGGATATCTTCCAATGCATCTTCAATCAATTCGCGGAGAATCTCAATTGTTGCATTCGGTGTATTATACACTTTATTTTTGAGACGTCCCCACAAATAAAAATCTAATGGATTGAGATCTAAAGATCTGGCAGGCCACGCCACTGGACCTCTTGTTCCAATCCATGAATTGGGAAAAGTCTGATTCAAATAATCCGTGACCATTCTTGAATTGTGTGAACCACATCCAAATTGGAATTAAATTTCGTTAAGACGGTCTAACATGTCCTGCAGTATATTTAAATATTTTTCTGCAGTAAACGATATTGATGTCTCATTTCTTAGATTAGGTGAGGATTTTCCATTGCATAAAAATGTTTATTTCTTCGATTGAACATACCAGAATTCGTAAATGTGTGCAAAGTTGTTTTTAAGTCTTACCTTCTGTTTAAACCAATTACAAAATCGCAATCTTCTTTCAGGATCTTTACGATATAGTTTTTGTACCGCTTGGTATTTGTAATCATGGTATCTGTGCCTCTTGACTATCTTATTAACAGCACTTTTTGATAAATTATATGACCTGCAATAGTCCTCGACCCAACTCCTGGATTTATTCGAATTTGAGCTAAGACATTAATATCGCTGACTGGCTCCTTTCTTGGAACATATGGAACTCTAGGTTTATCGAATGTATTATGTTCGGAAGAGTTGTAAACAAACGCCGAATTTTTTTTATATTTGGTTGCATTCTGTCGGGATAACAACATAACAAAATATCTATAGAAATATAAAAACAAAATATAACATGGAAGAATTACAAGTAAACGAGGTATCAAGGAGATATAGAGCGCAGACATAGAAAGAAGTCTAGACAATACACCAGTTTTAAACATGGCCAACATAGTAGAGAAGAAATGGAATAACATAGAGAATGCCATAAAAACATCAACTGAGAAAAATATTAATAAAAAAAAAAAACGCAGAAAAGAAAGGAATGGTTAGATAACGAATGTGATGAAGAAATTAAAAAAAAAATCACAAACTGAGAGAAAAATACCTACAAACAGGGAACGATGCAGATGGAAAAAATATATAAAACACAGAAAGGCTGTTAAAAAAGTGCAGAAATAAGAAAGGCGTCACCAAGAAAAAAAGTCGCAGAAATACAAGAAAATTACAAAAAATGAAATTAATCATTTCTATAAAAATAAGATAAGATAAGGAGGGACATTTAATAGGAGGAAAAAGTGAGCAAATGCAAAGATGGAAACAATACTTCCAAAAATACTGAACAATGAACCTGAATTCGGTAGGTATGTATTGTCAAAAATAGAATAGGGAATATTTTTTAATTATTTATCTTACCAAAACATATTTTTTAATAGTCGAATAATTGAATAATTATTGATTCTCATTTATTTTTTCCTAATTAATCACTTTATATTTGAAGTATTATACACTTTTCAAAAATTAACACTGATTATAAATTCAATACAGATCCGTACCAATACAATTTGGATTACGGTCCATATTACCCAAAAACCGTCATTAAATGCCATTGTGTAATACACCACTGGATGCAGGATAAAAAGTTATTTCAAATAATGTTATAAAATAGCCAGGTCCATATTTAAAAAAAAATAAGTTGAGGGTGGTCCGGAGAATACGAAACGTTGGATGTAAAATATGAAAACGTCAAATCAAAGAAAATTTACTATCAATTAAAAAA